AACCTTGCCACACAAACCCAACACACATACTTTAGAGGTATGAAGAGAGGCTTGTGGCACGTCAAGCTGCTGGGCACCACAGCCTATATTGTGACAAAACAACAAACATTTCTCTGATCAAGTAAAGAAAAAGAATGATGAGAGGAGAAGACCCGCAAACTCACGACTGAGCCTAGGGACAAATCCGGGAGAGAGACAGAAACAGAAATGTCCTGCAGCTGAAGCGAAACACAGCTCAGAGGGCGTTCCCCAGCAGACTGAAGGAGCTGACACATGTGGCTATGAGAGCGACAGCAAGGTTTATTAATGCATTTTCCAATTTGAGAGTGGTCCCAATTGATGGCCAGGGCAGATGTGTGGGAGAGGGAAGCAGTGGTCTAGGCAGTCAGCTCTGTGGTTGCACAGCAATATGTGTTGGGACAGGCTGGAGGACGCATGTAGCTGAAGCACTGTGTGTAAGCAAAAAAATGGGATAAAATGCAGCAAAGAGTGTTCAAGTAAATGGTTTCTGCCTGACCTGGAATCTTTATTTGATGAGATAAAAATGGGTTTTTCTGCCTCGATCTAGACTTGAGCAAAGCATTTGAATTTCATGTGAGGAAATTGTTAAACTGGAGGAAGCTGTGATATTAAAAAAGGATATATCTTACTGGGAGATAACTACAGATTGTGCTGAAGACAGGACTGACAGGTTGGAGCAAGGTTACCAGTGGAATTCTTGGCACTTACTTACTTAATATTAACACTAATGTTATTGACACAAAAATATCAAATCATGCTTAGCAAAACTTGCTGGTGAGCAAAACTGGGATATTTTGTCAACACAGAGGAGCATCTGCAAGGCGGAGACTTACATGGCTGGAGAACTAAGTAGTGAGAATTGAATGATGTGAAATAAAGCAAAGAGTGTGCACTTAGATGCAGTAACAAGAACTAAGAATTAGGACCTCCTCTGAAATTTCTGTGTGTGGTTCCAGTCTTGTTCCAAAAAGGTGAATTTGTATTGAAGTGGAGACAGATCTGCAGTCTTAAGATCAGGGCAGTGGAGAAGCTGTTTTACAAGGAACTGCCTTATTTAGACAAGTGAAATGAAGACTGGGAGGGAATATGATTGCACTCTTATAAAGAAATTGGAGAAGAAGGGTCGCATAAACACCTCAGAGAGTTTAGAAGGCTTTTTAAGCTAAAAGATAATGTTGGCACATGAACAAATGGGTATACGCTGGCCATGAATAAATTTAAGCTGAAAATTAGAAGAATCAACAGGGGAATGAGACTGTGGAAGAGCTTTCCAACAGGGGAAAGTGAGCAAAAATGTAACTAGGTTTAGGACAGATCTTAATAATTTTATTAATGGGACTGTGTAGTGTAGTGCTTATGACAGCAGGGAATGGGGCAGAGTTTCTGCCAGTCCTACTTTTCAAGTGCTTGGGACACAGCGTTTGCAGAGTGGAAGTCAACCTGTGTTTGTCAACTGCCTTTCCCTTGTAGGAGCCTTGTAGGTATTATAGTGGCACACCAGAGCTTTTCCAAGCTGCAGTGATTGCGTCTCACGTAAGAGATGTCTCATGCGGCCTTGTCATAGAAATAATCATTCAATTAATAGGATGCTTATTTAAATAAAGAGAGTCTTCTTTTTTTTCTCTCCATCCCTGTCTTTCAATGACAAGCAGAAAAATTGGGGAGACAAGGGAAAAAGAGACTGTTAATTTAAAAAGTATTTGCTAAAAATACCAAATTAAATGTTGTTTTGAATCCTGTCTTTAAGTCTTTTTTTTCTGTTCCCTTTGAAAAAATGTTTTTTGCTTGTCAGCCACTTCCAAGAGCTAGACTTGGTGGAAGAACCTGCTAGTGTAGTTTTCAAGGTGACATATGTCAGATATACCTGGGACATGTTTAGACGTTCCTCTAATCAGCACCCCGTAACACCTCCCAGTTAATCAAATTCGTGGAAGCAGTGGACATGTGTTTATTGCAGTACTGTGTAAGAAACTCTTGCAAACAGGTTCTTGACTGCTTCTTTGTCGCAGGTAGTTTTGGATTGCTGTGAAGGCGGCTGTCAGAGGGAAGCCATGGACAATCTGCTCAGGAAGGTGGACGAAGAGAAAAGCCTGAAAGCGGAAAGTTTGGTCAAACTTCTAGGGGCTGTGAAAGCTTCATTCCCTGGTCTCCACCGTCTGCTAGACAACTTGGTGGCAACAGCAAATGTCTCTGATGGCAAAGGTATGGGTACACTACACTTAGATGCCTCGGAGCTCAGTTCAGGGAATTGCCGGGAAGTTTGGGTGCTTTTCTGGACTTTACAATCTTACTTTCATTTAAAGGAATGGGATGCCCTTTTTATGTGAACAAAAATGGTCTGGAAGCACTGGGGTAGGAGGACTATGCCAGCAAGAAGGCCCCTGCTTTGCAATGAAATGAGAAGCCTGTTGGGCTCCTCCCTCATTTGCCACTGATAGTGTAGAAACTGGGATGTCATATCTGGAAAACAGGAGAACTGTGTCCTCCAGTGTCAGTTACTTTTTTTGTTTTCAGTCACTTTTAAGCAGCAGCATGTGTCTCCATAATAAATACAGCAATGAAGGCATCTTTACCAAACTCTGGTCCATTGGTGACTTTAACTCATGGTACTTGCTGGCTTTGAAAGCAAATCCCTAAAACTTCCCCAAAGCTGTAGATGTCTTGAAATTAAATACAGGTAATGTCTTACCTGACTTCAGTCTTCGTGAATTCCTTGTGATTGAGGGAGATTGTGGGCTGTGTGTTTGGTTGGGTAGTGTTTCTGCACATCGTGGTTGTTGAGTTGTGGTCTCCTGTGCGGATTAGAGTGTGCTGATGGGAGACCCACACTTAGTGTCCCCGTTAGACATCATTATCTTGGACAGCTAGTCCCCTTCTTCTTGTTTTGGTGGGGTTTTATTGTTTCTTGCATGTGAGTAGTGGATCAGGGACTCATAAGGCCTCATATTTCGGCTGGTGGGAAAGCCTTCCAAGGTTTGGGTGGCTTTAGGCACACCCTGAGCAGTTCAGAGAGAAAGGCAGATTTCACCAGCTCTGAAGTCACTTAAAAATTAAAAACTAAATTAACATGCAGTGAAATGTAAATGAGTGTTTAATAGAAAGCAAAACTGTGCTCATAATGCTGATAATTTCCTCTGTAGCAAACATTCCCGACAGGCAGTTTGCTTTGTCATTTGTTAAGCACGATTGCTTTCTTGAAACACCAGACTCCCAACATGGTTAATTATCTAGTGGTAATACCCATTCCAAGGAGGAGCATTCCTTAATTACATAGAGCCGAATCTCTTCAAATTGCAGCTTGAACAAACAGAAGCACAAATATTTCTTATCGTGGAAATGAAGAGGGAGGGAATGATTCGAGCCACTGATGGCAGCTTTTGATGCCTGTGCTATCCTGCTAAGAGAAGGGAGGACATCTGGTACAGTGGGGCAGGGCGTGCTCTTGTTATGGAGCTCACCTTGGTACGGCAGCAGAGCTGAGAGTGCATTCATATCAACTCAAATTTGTGTAATAAAATCAGAAACATTCCAATGGGAGTAGGGGGAAAATATTTTATTTGTAAACCATCCCCTGATCCATGCAGGGCACGTCCAAGTCCTAAACCCTACAGACCTCAAGTGCTTAATGAGGTTCCCTTCACTTTGCTAGGGAGTAGACTCATGTCTCCAAGAAGTCTTTGTCCAGGGAGTTTTTCATATTAGCTCAAAATCTTCCATTGATTATTCCCACAGCCTACTATTGCCTCCTTCACCATACTGGAGAGCTTTCTCTTCTTATCTGGCACTGTATGTCTTCTGCATCCCAGAGACTATTTTCTTTTCACCGAGCTGTGTGTATTTAGCTGCTTTTCTCCCAAGTAGTGTTGTGTGAATAATAGGTTGTTCTGTTTGGTACTGAACCAACATGATTAAAAGACCTAAGCACGCAAAGAAAAAACACACACAGATGTCTCGGATGAACTACAGTTTTTTGTTTTGGTTTCCTCTACAAAAGTATGACTATGCATGTTCTCCAATTTAGTGACTCCAACAGTGAATAAAATCCATTTCAGATTCATCTGTTTGGCAATTTCCAGTTTTATTTATCAACTGATCTGGCAACAAGTACAATCATATATTACTTTTCGTACACAGTGTATTTTGCCCAAGCGTCTTCGTTATCCTGAATAAACACTGTTCCTCTTTCTTGAATTAGTCTATTGTCTCCTGATACTGGGGTGTCTTAAAGGGTTGTGCTGTTACTCTAGAGTAATCGTTTCTCAGATTCATCAGGGCAAACCTCAGCAGACCCAGCATGGAATTAGATATGAGAGGAGGAAGGAATGAGGTTAAAGTTGCATTTTTTTGGAGTAAGGGAGAGAAGAGGGTGTTCCTGCCACTTTGCAGTCACACGTCTGGTTTGTGTTCATTTAACATTTTGACCAAGGACAACCCAGCCCGTTAAGTTCTTGATTACTTTGGACCTTCTGGGTGTATGTAAAATGTTAGTATGTTTGATAGTCACACACCGTTGAGACGGAGCATGTGGCAGAGCTCCTCCTTGGTGGGGTGGATCAGACTCTCACTTACAGGCTCTCTTTCAAGAGTCAGTAATGGGGTCTCCTTCATTCCAGGGCATCAGAAGAGGCTGATGAACATCTCGAGGTGTTGCCTTCACAGAGAGGGCCACATATTTACCTGCTTAACATGGCTGAAAACAGTCTTTCTTCTTCGAGGCTCAGACCGGGACTGAGACTCGGAAGGCATTTGGGTGCCAGAGATCTATTTCTGTAGGCATGTATGGGCAGAGGATATTCTGTGTTGTCTTTGATTTGGAGAAGTTTTGATTTGTTGTCTTTGATTTGGAGAAGTTTTGATTTGTTGTGTTCATCCTCTGCTTGAAGGTGAATCCGGGTGTGCTGAGCATTAGTCACCCAGGCAGAACTGGCTGCCTTGGCTTTTTCGGTCTCCTGTAGGTCTGAAGCACTTTGGGAAGATGCTGCAAGCTGAGCTGTTCTTATTTTCATTCACTTGCATTCAGCCAAATGGAGCCCAGAGGATTACGGAGCCAAACTGCTGAGGCGATACCGAGAAAACTTAGTGGAGCTCCTCACAGACACCCAGACGCTGCTGCAGGGCATCTCTGTTGCGCAGAGCCTGGCTCCTGCTGAGAGAGAGGTAAGCAGGCTCCTGCACGTGTGCAAGTAGATACTGAGCTTTAATCCCCATCTGGGATCCCTATCAAGTCCTGAGGACTTGATTTACTACCTGTCATGGCTTGGTTTGGCACAGTCCTCCAGCCGGACTCCGTTTAATCATTCCTTAGTATCCCATAGTGAGAGTGAAGCAGGTAACATATCTGAAGCTGAGTGAAGCAGGTAACGTATATGAAGGTGAAGGCTGGTGAGTAAGAGTGGCTGATGTGGGCACTGAGGAGAGATGCTCAGCTTCGGAGCGAGTTGAGGAAATGGCTGATGTGTTCAGGTGAAGAGCTTGCCTTCCAAGTGGTCACCACTTGAGCTGCGCTGGTCTTCAGCAGGGTGGGAGCGAGGGAAGGCTGGGTCTGGGCTGAGCCACGGTCATGTCTAAGCGTGCTGCAGGGCAGATGGATGGGGTCTCTTATTAGTGCCTCACTGTGGGTCTTTCCAAGGCGATGGAGCAGGTTGTGAAGCGTGAGGCTGGCGGTTTTGCCTCCCTTGTGTCGGCAGTGCTGGAGGAGAAGTCTTTGTCGGCCTCTGCTGTTTGGCAACTGCTGCTGGCTGTGCGGGAACCTGCACCGCTGAACCTGCTCATGGAGGAGATCCGGAAACAGCCCGGTGCAGAGTTTTTCTTCCAAGCAGGTAATGGCCTTGGTGTGCCCCCACACTCTCCCTGAGCTTCTCCTGCTGCTGGCAGGAGCTGCTTTCTCACTCCTTGCCCTTTCCCTGGCCGGGAACCTCTTTTCTTCCAATGGGTTTCAACACCCGTGTCCTGAAATGGTTGATTGGTTGGAAAAGCACTTTGGTCTACAAACGCAGCTGCTTTGCTTGTGGCTCTGTGCCTTCAGGTTTTGTAATGAGCAAACCTTTTGAGAGCTGGCCACCATCCAGAGCCTGGCTGTGTGTGCTGGCCCTGCGGGCACAAAGCCGGGGTTCACCTGCTTGCAGTCGGGCACCTGTGGTGTAGCTGCCTCTGCCCGAACTCCTCTTCTCCATCCCCTCTGTGCTCAGCCTGGAGAAACCAGCACTTCTGGTGCACGGTGCATCCAGCTGCTTTTTACGTGGCTGTCCTTGGGTGAGGCAAATTGTGCCTAGAAATGCCTGTTTTTCTGCAAAAATCAGAATGGGATGTCTGTAACTGGGGGAGAGAAGAAATCCTGAGTCTTGGGAGAACCATGCCTGCCTTTTGAGGTTGTCACTGTCTCTTTCGGCAATGTGCTTTGGAAAATCTGATCCTCTCGCCTGAAGATGGACAAACAGTGAGAAGTGTGGTCTGCTAGGGTTTTATGCTGGATGTGAGTGCTGCAATTAGTATAACTAAACGTTGCCTGTAGTTGTTTGCTGTTTCCTGTGCCCCTAAAGCTGGTAACAGCTCAGCTTCGAGAGAGTGCTGGACAAAGCTAAGCACAGCTAAGGCCTTCAGGTTCTCCTTGGGTTTTGTGTTTTTAAATACCTTTATTTTTTCTTTTCCTCTTCAGTGGCCACCAGCGAGAGCACAGCCATTGAGATCATCTTGCGGCACAGCAAGCTGATCTCGGAGGCCATCCAGCAGAGAGCCGACCTGGAGGGCTTGGCTCCGGGGGAGGCAGGACTCACAGAAGCAGTAAAAGAGGTATGAGGGGATGCTCTCGGAGCCAGCATGATTCGGGCTCAAAGGACTGGACAGACCCTAGCGTGTACTGAAATCAAGGGACATTACTTAGGTTGGGGAAGGCATCCAAAGTTGGAGGTGCCCGTCTGCTGAAGTGAGAGTGTGTTTGGTGTTTTATATAAATTCTGCAGGAGTTCTTAGGTAAAGGAAATTGCTAGTGAGATTCTTAGTTGGTGAAAATGTGGGTATTCAAACACAGCAAAACTGTTTAAGCTCTGCAAGGGTGCTTCAGTCCTAGAGAAAGTAGAGCTGCCAGGGAGTGGGTTTCCATTTCAGTTGGCTGTTCCAGGACGTACGAGAAGAAACACTCTTAGAAAATGCAATGAGGATGCCCTGATTGTGTAGTGTCCCGGAGTCCCTCACCTTTTTTCTCCTTGACAAGGAAAATGGTCTGTGTGCTTTAGTAGCGAGCTAGCCTTTTCCACCAAGCAGTCTGCAGTTGCTCATTCCTGCTCTGGTTAGCTGCTGTTGGAGATCTGGAAGGGTGAGGTGCGTACGGGCATGCACAGATCCTCACTTTGGTTCTTACAGTGGCTGGCTGAAGCAGGTTTGGATTTGGAAGGGAGAGAAAAGCCCAGAGCGAGCTGTGTATAAAGGACAGGTTTATGAGTTAGGTAATGCTGTAAGGCATTGAGGAACCGCTCATTCCATGGAAAAGTGGTTTTAAGTGAGCGAATACAAAACCAGAAAGTCTGAGAATTTAGTTTCTAGTAACTTTTTTTAATCCTGAAATTCTCTCAGCTCATGCACAGACATCAGTGGAGGGGCAAAGACCTGCATGGAAAGGGATTTCTTTTCTGGTTTCTCAAAGCAGGTTCCCAGCAGTAGAGATGAAATAAAATGGATGTGCCCTCACTCTCAGACCATCCCGACCTTTCACAGCCCAAAATCTCTGTCATGTGATGTTTTCTTCTTCTTACTTCTCCAGCTACTGAGTATTTCTGCTCAGAAGGATAGTTCAGAGGCCTCCCTGAAAGCGGCGCTGAGCACAGCCCAGGAGAAGTCTGTCCCAGCCATCAAGATCTGTCAGCTGCTGTGCAATGTCCATGAGACCTTCCCAGACCTGCAGCCAGTGATGCAGGAGCTGGGGCATGTGGGTAAGAAAAGCACAGGCTTTCATCCTTCCCTGATCTTTTACACACGATTATGGGAGTCTTGGGCAGTTTGGTAGGGAACCTCAGTGTCCTGCTGGCCTCAGGTCATTTCATAGAACTCTCCCCTGGCCAAATATTGGGGTTGTACGTGCAGGAGGGTTCACAGGGGTGGCCTCTGGATCCAAGCACTGGACTGTGCATTTCTCCTGCTGGTAAAATGCACCATATTAAAGTTTTGTACATTACAAGGGTTGTGGAGACCATAACCGACACCATACTGGTATTCCTTAACTGTGTTTGCATATCTCCACTCCAGCCCTTGCACCAGAGGAATTTAATCAACTTAGTTATGTAATTTGTATCTATATTGGGTTCTTTTTCAGAATTTTTATCCTTAACTGGTGGGATTTCTTTGGTTCTTCCCGTACTATTGGATCTGTATGAATTTGGACTTGTATTACAATCCCTTGACTTTATCTGTTCATGTGTGGATACTCCACAGGCCGATTACGAAAAGGTCACATCGGAGCACGCTTGTCTTGTGCAAAGATGAGCATGATGGTGCATTTTGTAGTCCCAGACTAGTTTCTGAGTTTGTTTTCTCATTGTGCGTTAATGTGGTCTTGCTATGTATACACTTTACAGAGGAAATGATCCCCTGGGAGAGTCCCACAGCAGTAGGGGAATGTTGTTATACTGTACTAGTTCGGCAAAGGTATGAATGAAACATATGCAGATAGCAATTTGGTGAACCCCAGAAACAAACACATAGCAATAACCATGTGTGAGACCCAGCCCTGAGCTGTGGGATGCTTTCCAGCTGAGCCAAATTGTGTCTCTGCATCCGTCATTTGAAGGAAGAATGCTTAACAGAATTTGGTGCTTTAATGAAAAAAGATAACAGAGGGCCAGGAAGCTAACTGCAGGTTTGCATTCTCTTGAAAAGGATGCAAATGTGACTTGCTTATTCTGCTTGCTCACATACATTTTTATGGCATCGTGTTTCCCAGCGCATCCAGATTCTTTGGGCTGCAGAGTCCACTAGGATGTACACAGTGTGATTTTTATCCAAGTGCAGGCACTGGTTCAGCTCAATCTGTCCCCAACTACTCATGGTGCCAGAGCTGCTCAGCTTATGCACAGTGTGGAAATACTAGCAGGTTGCTAGGTAGTTAGAGTAAGCAGCTTGTTATTAATAGTTTGTCTTTTTTTAGGGGTAGAAGGTTTGTCTGAAAATTTGGGCCAGGACCATAAGTGGTCTTTGTGAATGAACACAAGCTTCCTGGCTTCGACACTCGCCATCATTTTGTGTTTGACAGTGAGAGGCGAAGCCAATGTTCCCCACATGCTGGGAGGGGGCAGAGAGCAAGCTGCTGTCCATGAACTTGCCCACGTTCTTGAGCAATGAAGAAATGTTGTTGGGGTGGTAGATGAGACTGGGTGACTCAGAGCAGTGTACATGTAGAAGAAACTAAGGACCTGGCTTACTGCTCAAGACATAGGGCTCAGAGGGTGATAGCGCATGCTTTGCTGCCCTTTCTTGACTCAGTGGCCTTAGTGGTCTCCTTGAGAGATGTCCTACACTGTAGATCCACTATTCATGCCCAGTTCAGATCTAGGTCCTCTCTTCTAACTCCACCAAGAGCTGCTACCGATCCAGTTGGTTTTTTTTCACCTGGTCATGGCTCTGATGAGGACATCCAGAGAAAAGGCGATTCCTTCTTATCTTCCATTCCTTCTCTGTCTCCTGCTGCTGCAGGCACTTGCCCCACTCCCCTTGACCCTGTCTGAATGTGGGATGTGCCAGTGCTGATGAGGTAAGCCAACAGAAATTGCACGTGCCTGTGAGTGTGGAGCCCACCTCAGCTCCTGAACACCTTGCAGTGCTTACCAGTGAGGGACCTGGGGAGTCAGCTAGATTGCTCTGGCAGATGCCTGCTTCTCTGGCACCAATATCAAAGAGAGCAGACTGCTGTTACTAAGTGTCTTTGCAGGGCTTCAAGCCAAGGTTGAGACGAAATCAAGCAAGAAGCAACATCAAAAACAAGAGCCCTGGAAAAATGGTTTTTACTTGGCAAAAACATACATTCTGTATGAAGTGTCTAGAGGAGGATTGCCAGTTACCAGCCCCTTTTTGGCATCGTACAGATCTTCACACTGAACTTCCATATCTTAATTTCTAGGCCAGTCCTCTCAGCTCTGATATCACTGCTTACCAGCCCTAAATGGTGCAGGTGGCTTTATGGATCAATACCCATGTGGCTCTTGGCATGAGATATGAATGATAACTGTGGGCCTCATGTTTGAGGGATGTGAGTTTCCACTTGAAACAGAGGAGATCTTACATTTCTGAAGAACATATGTGCCTCATGGAGATGCGTACAGTTTGCATTTCCACTTGAAAGCAACAGTTTTTACATCTCTACCACGCAAAAAAAAAAAAAAATCTGATACTTAATTTAGGTGAGCTGAAGTACTTGGCATCCCTCTGGAGGAAACTGCGTCCGTCCCCAACCACACTCAGCAACAGGAAATCTGTTGGCTTCTCCTTGGGTCCCTTCTGTAGTCAGAGCACTTTCCCTTGTGGCTGGTGCTTGCAAGGATGAGGTTCGGCTCTTCCAGTCAACTCCATAACCTCCTCTCTAGCCAGCTGCTTTCCAGGTCTCCGTACAGTCACTTCTTGGGAGATCATGTTTGTCAAGATATGCCTTGCTTTCAGATCTCAGAAATGTGTCAAGAACTCCAGCAAAAAGGCTTTTCCTCTGTGTAGTCTTATGTTTAAAAAGACAGTTAGCATCTCACTTAGGCCTGAGTCAGCCCCTGGAATTGTTAAACTGTAGGGTCTGCAAGCAAAATGCTATTCGCTCTAAAGATTCTGTGTTAGAAGCCACCATGCATGTCGGCAACCATTGGAATGACCTTCAAGATGCAAAGGGATAGGTGGAATTTTCTTCCAGCTTAAGCTGAAGAAGTGGAAAATGGGATGGTCAACACACCAAGAGATCTTCTGCTTCTGGAGTCTAATATCTGTCATGAATTGCAGGGAGGATAGAGCAACCACCAGGATTCATGACTTAGCAGACCACTTACAAAAGAGAAAGAGAACTTGGTATGAAATACGCCATAATAAACAGCAGGGTTTTTCTTCCAGCGCTGAATGTCTTTGCCACCGGAGAATAGAAAGTCCAGAGTTCTGGAGGACCCCACAGTGGGGAATTCATGTCTGGGACCTTTCTGGGGTATGTTTACCCTCGGGATCTGCTCCCAGGAGGCTCAGCCAAGGGCATGGCCAAGGCATGCCAAGTTCCTGTCTCTCAAACTTGATGTGCAATCACTTCTTCAGTCTGGTCTTATTTCTCATGAGAGTACTTGGGTTGACCTCCAAGCTTCCTGTGTCTCCAAGGATGGAAGCTTGCTGGGTAACCTCTGTTGCTTGACGCTGCTCTAATGAGGTATGAAATGTTGTCTTCACCCATAGGAGGGGTTCTGGGAGACATGCTGGCTGCCAAGTGGAAAGGAATTGCTGCCCCAACGTAGCAGTGCTGCATGTCCCCTCTGCCGTTCAGCAGCAGCCAGCCTGTGGTACTTGATGCCATTAAAGAAACCTGCTCGTTCAGCAACTGGACCTTACTGTCACATTAGCTTTGTGTCATGCAGTTTAGCATGTCTCTCATTCTCCTGTCTCATGGTAGCCAGACTTAGAAGGTCTTTTCCACTGTCAGGTAAGGTTCCTCCTGCCGTCCAGGATGTATATATTACACTGGCACAAGACTACAGAGTGCAGGTACCTAGCCATTGATTTCACATGATCTGCTTCAGCTTGCTTTCAAAACTGTTCTCCAGGAAGAGTCCCCCTGAAGAGATAGAGCTGTTCCTGGGGCCCCTTTGTGCATTTGCCCATGAAGGTGGACTAAAGTTAAGAGCTCTCCCTGCCTTTATACCGTTACAGTCTTGTGCTGTTGTCTAGGCTAAAGGTTTGTAATCCTGAACAACATTTTCACAGGCATAAGAGCAGGAGGACCATGAGCCAGCTTTTGGCCCACTGGAGTATGTGGCAAAACTCCACTTCATCTGACTCAGGTTACCCCCCTGCTTCCATGGCACTTCTTCTAGGAATTTCCAGTCCTAGTTTCCTCAGTGCTCATATCTTCATCCATGTTCATCCTGCCCTGCAAGAAGACTCTTTTTGATGTTCAACATTTCTGGGAAGTTTAAAGATTCTTCACTTGGGTCAGAAAAACTGATAGTATTGGTTTTAGGGATGTGGGAAGAGACCTTAGAGGTGAAAGGCGTGTGTTGCTATCTTGACAGAGTAGGGCAAACTGGAAACCAGTCTTACAGTCTCTTTCTCCCCCACCACCTGACATATTAAGATTTCCATATCTATTGGAATGTGTCCCCTGGTTTCTAGTTGGTTGGAAATCCAGAGAAGTATCACTGTGCAGGGAGGACACTTTGCTGAGCTCTTCCCATAGTGAGGAAGTCAGAAAAGAAGTTTTGCAAGCACAGGCTGAATTTCCGGAGCATTGGCAAAAGAAATCTGCAGTGGTTTCCATGGCCATACAGTTGCATGGTTCTCATTATAGCAAAGCAGCCAAATATATCCATTTGTATTTTGATTTCTTCCATACGTACATTCCCTATGGGTCTTTTCTGTAGATTGAGATCTGTCATGGTTTAACCCCAGCTGGTGACTGAGCACCAGGCAGCTGCTCGCTCACTTCCTCCCACCCAGTGGGATGGGGAGGAGAATGGAAAAAAAACTTGTGGGTTGAGATAAAGACAGTTTAACAGGATAACAAAAGGTGATGGTGATAATAATAATAATAATAATACAAGTGATGCACAAATGCAATTGCTCACCACCTGTGGAAGAAAACCCCTGTGATGCCCAGTCTGTTTCCAAGCAGCAATCCCACCTCCTGGCTCGCTTCCCCAGTTCTGTACAGGGCATGGTGCTATACGGTAGGGAATATCCCTTTGGCCAGCCTGGGTCAGCTGTCCTGCCTGTGGTCTCCCAGCTTGTGCACCTGGCAGGGCCGGAGAAGCTGAAAAGTCCTTGACTTAGTGTAGACACTACAACTGCCCAGCAACAACTAAAACATCAGTGTGTTATCAACATTATTCTCGTACTAAATCCAAAACACAGCACTATACCGGCTACTAGAAAGAAAATTTACTTTATCCCAGCCAAAACCAGGACAAGATCCTCAGTGAATTTTCCAGCTTGTGCTTTTTGAGATGATGGTGTTACAGGGACTCAGAAAAGCATTAGACTTTGTAAGAAGTGAATGTAATGAGCAATTTAAGATACCTCAGGGCCCTAACCAGAAGACTCAAAAGGGTTGTAGCAAGATTATCTGTTCCCTTTCAGAGAGTTTGCATTTGGGAAGTGTTCCTGAGATTGCTTGTAATTAATGGCTGGATATCCACTCTCAATGGCAGACTTATACAGTATCATACTTGAGGCTCAGATCTTCAAAAGTTAAGCACGGCCGTAACTTCATGTGTCTGAGCAGGATGCAGATGCTTGGAAGCAACAGTTGTTCCTCTTTGTGGAGCAAGCTCTTTGAAAATCTGGCCCTGGCTCTTGCCATCTCATCCAGCCCCTGATATGTGTGGGTGGAGAAATTCAAGGACCACTCTTTCATGCGTCGTACTGTGCATGGCCACGTCTGCTTTTGAGCAGAGCCATGTGCCACCATTGTGATGGGACAGCATGTCCGATGTGTGTCTGTTATTGCTGAGCAGGGACAACTGTCTGTGTAGGAGCATTCAGGAGATGGGAGACTGAGGGGCTGGTGCCCAGTTCTACTGGTCACCACCAAAACAGGAATTGTTATTTCTGTAGGTCTCTTGACTGAGGGAAGCGGGGAGAAACCTGGGATCAGGAAGTGGAAGGTGAACAGTGAATCCCAAGTTGAAGCTCTGGACAAAGATGAGGACAAGGCGGGAGGTGCTGGTGCTGAGGAATCAAAGGAACCCCAAGAAAAAGCTTCTTCTAAGAAGAGTTTTGTCTGCAAAGCCTGTGATAAGACCTTCCACTTCTACTGCCGCCTGAAGGTGCACATGAAACGTTGTCGGGTGGCCAGAGGAAAGCAGATCCAGTGTAAGGAGTGCAGTGAGGTCAAATCGACCAAGAAGGAGCTGGAGAAGCATCAGCTGGAGGTCCACGGGGTGGTGGGGACAGCCAAGAAGAAGAAGAAGCGGCTCCCTGTGGCTTGTGACATCTGTGGCAGAGAGTTTGCTCATGCCTCAGGTAGGGCTGATGGAAGCAGGGTGGGAGCAGGGGTGTTCGGACAGAAATCTTGACAATATAACAAAGTGATAGTCTGAAATCTCCTCCTCCTCCCTGCAGCTTTGTGAGCGCCGTGTGTGAGAAACGCAGCTCAGCTCATTTCCCCTGCCCCACTGAGCACAACCACTTTCTGATTAGTTCTTCCCTAATTGGTTTTCCACATGGCTCATCAAGGAAAAGCGGGGCTACTGGCAAATTTAAAAGCCTCCCAAAATAATGAAGCTGTTCCAGTTCTGCAGCTGGTCTAGCAGGATGAGTAAGAGGAGATGAGTGTCTTTGCCATCCTCGTGGCGGCTCCCGATATCCTGGTGGACCTCGGCTGGAGGACACTAGATCCCCAGTGTTGCAGGCGGGCTGGAGGACACTGGTGAACCCCTGGTGCTGTGGGTGGGCTGGTGGACCTGCAGGCTGGGTGGAGTGGTGCTTCTGCAGCAGGGTCAGGCAGAGCTGGCACTGGGTCCCGCCAATGCCATCTCGGTGTCCTGCCTGCCTCCCCAGGGATGCAGTACCACAAGCTTACGGAGCACTTCGATGAGAAGCCCTTCTCCTGCGAGGAGTGTGGGGCCAAGTTCGCGGCCAACTCCACACTGAAGAACCACATGCGGCTGCACACAGGGGACCGGCCCTTCATGTGCAAGCATTGCCTGATGACCTTCATGCAGGCGTCGGCCCTTGCCTACCACACCAAGAAGAAGCATGCTGAGGGTGAGCCTTCCCTGTGGGACCCCGGCCATGGGCTTCGCTTGTTCCATCCACCCCTTTGTGCCCTGTTCCTCCATCTGCCTCCTGGCTGCTTCCCCATCCTTTGCAGGACCCATGAGCAGCAGGCTGCTCCCAGATCTCCTTCACCCACATGGTTTTGCCTGCAGTTCCTCATTCTACCTTTCTGCCACCTCCTTCTCCAGGTCTTCTGATTATCTACCCAGTTAGCAGTTTGCTCTCCATTAAGGGGATCTTCCTCTTCCTCCACCTTCCTTGTTTTTCCCTGAGTAGCTCCTCTCTGTCCCCTCACATCTAGACTCCTCTGATACATCCTCCTCCCTCTGGGTAACCTGCTTTCTTCTGTCCCTTCTGCTGGCTGAATTTCACAGAGTTTTTCATGCCAGTGCTTCTCCTGCCCCTGCACTCAGCCCCATGCACTACTGGGGCTTAGGCATGCCTCCGCCAGCTCATGGGCGGAGGATGTATCGCCCTGTTTGTGGTAAGTATGCTTGGGTGTACTTCCCACTGTTGCATGAGTGTGATGCTGTTGGTCAATTAATTTTGAACGTGAGACACAGCAATGTGTAGTACCTCCAGAAGTATGTAGGACCTCCAGAAGTGCGTAGTACCTCCGCATACTTGAGGTCTGTAGTAATTTAATGCTCCCTGTGCAGGTGTGGTTTTTCTTCAGCACCTCTAGGACCTTTTTGACCCTGCGCTGAGATGCTCTGGCTACCCCAGGAAAGCCTGTCCACTTTACAATCTCTTCCCTCTCCCTTTGGAATTAGGCAGAGTCCATACAGAACTCCTGTCCCGTTAGGTGCAGGCTCTCACCCTGGCTGTCACTACAGGGAAAATGTACGCCTGCCAGTACTGCGATGCCGTGTTCGCCCAGTCCATTGAGCTGTCGCGCCATGTCCGGACTCACACGGGGGACAAGCCGTACGTCTGCCGGGAGTGTGGGAAAGGCTTTCGCCAGGCCAACGGGCTCTCCATCCACCTCCGGACCTTCCACAGTGAGTATAGCCAGCTGCCTCCCCGGCTTGGGCCGTCCACCCTGCAGGACATGGCTTCTGTGGGGTCATGGCAGACCCATCCGTGCCAGCAGAGGCTCGTGCAGGTTTACTAGTGCCTGCAGGCTGGCTGGGTGTCTCATGGTGGGGTTTTTCCCTTCCAAGAAAAGCAAGACTTTCTAGTGATTTGATGCTGTGGGTAGGGTTATCCCGAAGAAAATGGCAGGGCTGGCTTCCAGCAAACCGCAAGCTGCTGGGAACCTACCATGGGAAGCTGTAGATATCTGTATGCAAAGCCAGAACTTCAGTGCTGGTTTTTGTCTGGGAAGTAACAAGCTTTTCTTTGCTTTTTCTTCCTTCTCTCTGTGAATTCTCAATTCTTTTATTTTTTCCCTTGATTTCTTTGCCCCCTGCATTTTTTGTTGCATTTCTGGGCAGCAGACATCGAAGATCCCTATGACTGCAAGAAATGCCGGATGAGCTTTGCCACCCTGCAGGAGCACCGCAAGCATGTCCACGAAGCCCATTCCCGGGAGTACCACCCCTGCCCGACCTGCTCAAAAGTCTTCAGTGCCCCGTCGCTCCTGGAGCGCCATATGGTGACCCATGTCGGAGGAAAGCCCTTTAGCTGTGAGATCTGTGACAAAGCTTACCAGGTGAGCTGGTGCGGCAAAGGATTTGGTCTCACGTGTGCTGGAGGTTGCCGTTGCACGCTCCTGCACCAGGATGTCTCTCCTGGCCGTGCGCACTGAGCGCAGCAGTTTGTGGTCGGCAGAAGGAAAAATTGCACAGAGGAGGCAGAATCTGCAGGGAAAAGGCAGATCCATGGAGGGACATGGGCTGTGACTGCAAAGGGCTACATACCTGCCCATCTGGACCCTCAGGAATCCCTTTCACCTAAGCTTCTAGCTCACAAAAAGCGTAGGAATAAAAATACAATACTCGTGTTGCAAATGGCATGCCTCAGTGGGAGTGTGTGTGGGAGCACATTCCTACAAGGGAACAAAAATTCACACCAAAAGGAGACCTGCAGAGAGTGAGATGAGGATGAGGAATTCGGCAGTGTTCAGCTCTTCAGGGGCAATGGAGAAACAGAAGTGAGGTGTTAGCTGTTGTCCCATGGGAGGATGAGCAGGTCTTGTATTTGCTGTGCACCACCCCTGTTCCTGTTGCTTTCCATGCAGTTTCTTGCTGTCACGATGCCCCTGGAACAGCTTTGTATTGTAACCATGATTTGATCCTTATCATTGCAGCAGTTGTCAGGGTTATGGTATCACAACCGGACCCACCACCCTGATGTCTTTGCAGCTCAGAATCACCGCTCCTCCAAGTTCTCCTCCCTGCAGTGCAGCTCCTGTGACAAAACCTTCTCCAGCACTGCTGCTCACCGAAAGCACGTCAAGGCAGAGCACACAGGTAATGGCCCATTCGTTAGTAAACAAAAACACTTGGCAACTGCTGGGAGAAATGTAGTAATAACTCTGATAGGACAAGGTTGTGCATCTTGTTTACCTGCAAATCACAATAGATTCTGTATATCCAGCAGTCTCTTCTGGCAGGTCTCATCTCTGCGTCTTGCAGCTCACTTGCTTTTGGGTTCTCCTTTTCCTGCCATATCTCCAAAGATGCTCCTCATGGCTGTACACACGTGTGGTGTTGCTGAGATATAAACAGAGCTCTAGTCCAGAAGGTCTTCTGTAGAAGACCTTGGGTACACACTTTTCTGTTCCTGGTCTTGTTGGCAGATGTGAAGTTCCAGGAGTGCGAGACATGCAAGGAGCTCTTCCCCACGCTGGCTCTCCTGCAGGTCCACGTGAAGTGCAGGCACTCAGGTCTGTTACATTTGCTGTTTTTGTTGTTAACCTTGTGAGCAATGACTGCTGCTCTCCGTGAGTGATGTCTAAGTGGGGGAGTGAAGATGGACATGGTAAGGAAGCAGAGAGTGAGTAAACAGGAAATATGGATGAACTGGAAAAGCACTGGTTTTGGTGAGGCTGGGACATGTTTGTTAAGCTTCTGGAGCCAGTGGAGTCAAGGAGGGATCTGGATTTGCTTGTTACAGCAGAGAAGAGAGCTAAGTGCAGGTGAGGAGATGTCAGCACAGAGAAATGAGGAACTGAACCCCAAGCATTGGGGTTTGTGGAGGATAGAGCTAGTGGGAGACTGGAGGAAAAGGGGGTTTAGCACCAGATCAGAGAGGGATCTGGCTTGGGGAGAACACGTCAAGGGCCCTTTGGCGAATGTGCAGGCTGAAGGAAGTCTGTGAGGGCAAAGTGAACTGGCAGACCAGACTGCTACGAAAGGTGGGTCCCCAGGGCTGTGCGTGGGATAGCAGGAGAGGAGATGGATCAGCCTCCATCTCTTGGGGCAGCCAACAGCAGCCTGGAGAGTGAGGAAGGAGAAGACCTAGACATAGCTCTGAGAGGAGAGAGACCCTGGGGTGGATAATGGGTTTGCAATAGCTGAATCAGGAGGTGGAAGCCAGGCCAACAAGAAGTGCTGGATGCTGCAAAGGAACAGGGAGAAGAGATGTTTGTGAGAAGGGACAGCTGCAGTCAGATACACCAGCCTGGTTTCTGAACACCGGTGCTGCAGGGAGCTAGAACAGCCAAAAGCTGTTTGACAGACAGTGGCGTAGCTGGGAGAAGGGACGCTGGCACACGCTGTGCCCTCAGTCCCTGGTGGTTTTCAGCCCTGTGTGTCCTGGCCGTTTGCAGCTCCCTGTGCCCTTGGGCTGGCCCTGGCCGTTGCAGCCCAGGCTCAGCGCGGTGCTTCCTCCCCCAGGCTCCCAGCCGTTTCGCTGCTTGTACTGCTCAGCATCCTTCCGTTTCCCAGGGGCCCTGCAGAGCCATGTTGCCACCGAGCACTTCAAGCAGACAGAGAGCACCTTCACCTGTGAGCTCTGTGGGGAGCTCTTCCCCTCCCAGGGCGAGCTGGAGGGGCACTATGGCACTGAACATCCCAAGGTGGTCTTCTCCCAAGCCACCACGGCCCAGATTGTGCAGGTAAAGACTACTCTGTGCCGTAGCCCCCATGGTTGTTCATCCATCCTCCCGCTCCAAGCCTCTTATTCTTCCCAAATCCACCCTGCAGCTCCTGTCACCCCTTCTGCTCCCTGATTCGCCCTTCTTAGAGGAGTCCAGGATGCAAGCCCCTCAGCCCACAGTGCTCTGGGATTTTTGTGCTAGTGTGAGGTGGGCTCGCTGTGGGGGGAAGCAGCTCAGTCCTGGTTTTCAGGAGCTGAGGAGGAGGGACTGACAGCGTGTGCAGAGGTGCCTGGTTACTCAGAAGCTGTTAAAACCTAGATGAGATTATAGGTGTTTTGTTGGAGGCCCAGTGCTAGGCTTGAACCCAGACTCCTTCTCTTCAGTATCTCAGTCATCACTGGAGAACAGCTCCTTGGATGAGGGAGCTAAGTGTGCAAGATTCCCTGGGCTGGCATTCCTCCAGTGGATAATCACGGAGCGTTTATTGTCTACAACTGCTTGTGGAGCTAAATTATAGCAATTTAGTGGAGAGAAATATTTTAATCACTCCTGTCTTCTCTTTTGCATCATTGGTGTGTGTGGTTTGGTGTTTCCCATTAGTCTCACGCCTATTGTAATTGCAGACGTCTGGTGTGAAGCTAAATGTTATTACCAAGCTGGGGCCAGGAAAGATGTGGGTAGCAACATGATTGTGGGGAAAGCAGTGCTGTAAGTGCCTGACTCTGAGGTCATCTTCCATGCAGGTGATTCAGACATCGGACCAAGGAGCAGCAGAGCACATCATCTCTTTTGATGAGGCCCAACTCGCTGGCTCCCAAGTCTTTGTGACGTTACCCGAATCCCAAATGAGCCAAGCTGGCTCTGAGCTGGTGGCAGTGACCATGGAGGACTTGTTTGATGACAAAGTCACTCTGGTTTGTGAAGAAACCAAGTGAGCGTGGCACCTGGTATCCACTAGACTCATTCAGGAGCTCTACCTGCAGGGAAATTCAGGGTTTCTTTGGGAAAACAGCCCTGGATATGCGACACTGCAAAAGAAATGGTGTGCAAGCACAGCATGGCCAAGGACAGGAAAGGTTTGTAGACATTCACAAGAGCCTGGGAAGTCTCCCTGCAGTCAGCAGCTGCTGGCTCGGGTGAGGTGGACCACTTATTCCTCCTGGCTCAAGAGAAATAAAGCAGCAGAGGAAAAGACTGGAATTGGGTGTATTCACGTGTGTTCCTCCACTGCTGTGAACAGAGCGGAGAGGAGGAGACTAGTGCAGGACAAAGTCGGGGTGGTATGGGTATGTGAAACCAAAGAAGCAGCTGCCCTGAGAATTCGGGGTGGAGATTTTTATGGCTGAATCAGTGATGTGCTCACAGGTATCTGCTACTCTGCACGGTGCGTAAGGGTGCTTTGTTTCTTCTGTTGGTCTCCCCTGTACCGTTGTGCTGCCTGTTATGCCGGCTAGAAAAGTCCTTCAGCGCAGAGCTCACGTTTGGGCCTCTCTGCTCAAGCTGAGACTTCTTGGGAGTTGTGGTAAATGGCTTTGGAGCCGTTCAGGTAATACCTTGTGTAGCACAAGTCTGATCCCATCCATGTTTTTGCTGCGACTGTCCGTTACCAAGAAGGATTGCAGGCAGGTGTGGCCATCCACATCCTCTTTGTGAACAAACAGCCCTGAGATCTCCCACCCCTCCTCTAATTCACCAAGGACATGCTGAAGCTGCGCATCTGAGCAAGGAGGAGCTGTGCCTGCATGCCAGGGCCCCTCGTTACTGGTGTCAGTGGATTGGCACTAATGAAGGTGTGCAATAGTTGCTGTGACTTCCCTGTGGCATGCAGGACATTGCTTTGTAAAATGCATTCAGATACCTACTGTAAAATTTGCTTCTCTGGTGCCAGCACAATGCAACAGCTTCATTGAGCACACTGGCCCCTTTAAGGCTAAATTTCATAAAGCTTTTTTATCTGCAGTTTCCTAAAATATAATCTGATAATTAATGGTTTGCTGAATCCATTATGAAGTGCAATTAGATAGATGCAGGGTTCCTGTGGCTCTGAGGGGACTGGTAGCATTTATCTTCCTTTCCCTTATGCCAAAAGGTTGAACTCTGCCACTGCGATATTTACATACTGAGCGGTGATCCCCACCGCATCTCGCAGCCTGAGACCCTGCGGCGAGCAGTGCCCGTTTCATCACACTGCCCAGAGCCACGGGAGCGCAGGAGATGAACAGATTGGAGTTTTCCAGCAGCGTCTTGTGCTGGCTGCTGACAGCCACCAGGCAGAGATGGTCGCACAGGAGTGTGCCAAGGTGGTTGTGCCAGTGAGATAGTTCGTTGTTTCTGTTACAACTCAGAGAGAAGTGAACAGCAAAGGGTGCCCCCAGGAGAGGGGCTTGGTGGAGCTAATGTTCTGCATGGTATTTTTTTGTGTGTGTGGCAGCAAGCATAGGGCCCTGTTGAAGTGTTGCACATATCCCGAAGGGCCCCCACTTTTATTTTCCTTGGTTGCATGTGTGGCTTGTCCCCTAGTCTTTGCCGTGATGCTGAAATGGAGGAAGCATGAGGTTAAGTTGCCACTGCATCCAGGAATGACCAGGAGATGGTGCTCAAGGTCTTGAGGATTAGTGCTAATGGCCAGGTGCCTCTGCACCTCTGCTGAAGCTCCTCTTTAAGACTTCCCAGGCCTTACGCAGCTCCTGGGCTGGCTGGCAGGTGTGAAGAGCCCTTGAGCCACTGCCAAGCTGGAGGACAACTCTAAGCCCTGGACAGGACAACTCCTAGCTCTGGACATTGCTGCATAAAGAAGAGCCTGAAACTGGGCTGTGCCCACCTGTGGAGAGGGTAAAGTACATCTGGAGTGGACTGGTGAAAAAGCCTGGGATCCTGTTGGCCAGGAGGAGAGCAGGAGACCATCTCATGCCTGCCTGGACTAAGAAGAGCTGTGCATGGAGCTCAGTCTGAGCGCAGGGATAATGACAGAACAAGCAAGTACGGCTTGATCATCTTAAAGCAGACATGTTGGGAGGTAAGCAGTGGATTTTGTCCCACAGGCTGGTGGAGATGAAAGCTGCTCCCCCTTTTCTGGCTCTGTGGGGGCTGGGAGCTGTGGGAATCCTGCAGAAGCTGCATGATGCTCTGGAGCAGGGGATGAATTGTCCAGGCGATGCTTTGGAGATATCCTAGCCTTCATTTGGGAGCCAATATCTGCAGGGAGTGTTAGGTGAAGCTGATCTCCCTTTCTTCCTGAAAAACTCTGGAGAAAGAGTAAAGGTTAAGGGAAAGTTGCCTTATTTATAGCCCTCTCATAAGGCATAGGGAGCTTGGCTGGGGAAGAGCATGCAAGTGATGCACTTTTACTTTGATCCGTTTGGTCCATGTCAACTGAGTGTTGTCATAATTGAAGGGGGATGGTGCAAATCACGCAGCAGGTGCAGTTCAGGCTCACGTCTCCTGTTTAGGGCAATCTCTCCTGCCCTTGTGTCCAGCAAGAGCCTGCATGGACGTATCCTCGGCAGAGTCCTGCCAGCAGTGTACACCCAGTGAGAGTTCTGCAACTGTACAGAGACCATCAAGCATCTCCTGTATCATTATGAGGAGATAATAATTCAAATACACCCGTTCTGGTTCCTTCTTGATGGATGAAATATGCACGTCAGAGCAAATTGCAGTGTTGGCAACACCTATGTCCTGTCTGGAAGGAAGATGTGTTTCCCAGGGCACATCCTGGTCTGGTGTGCTCAACACTGAAGATGCTGATCACTAGCGATTTCTCGTTATGCTGTATATTCTTTTTTACTCTGTAAAAATAAAACATGGAGAATGAAAGATGTAGCTGCACGGTGTCATGTGAAGCAATTGATTGGAAGGAAAAATCCTTATTTCTGAAAACGAGATTTTTGCAGGTCTTCTCCCAGGTGCTGGGTGACCCATTGGGTTACGCGGGGTCCTGTGCCCCTCTTGGCCTCGGTGCCATCATCTGTAAGGAATCAGAGGAGCTATTGCCAGGTCAGGCTGGAGCACGGGACCGTCCTGCCCTTCACTGTGTCCTGTTGCAGGTGCAAGATGCTTTTGGAAAAAGGGCAGAGTGCCTGTAACAGAAACTTGGAGACTAACATCTCATGAAGGGCGTTAGACCAGTTAATGATTTATATACCTCCCTGCATTAATTGGTGCCATTTAGGGTGCAGGATTAGGCTTGTGACTGTTAGGAAATGTCTGTTTTCTACACAACTTTCATTCTGACCCGGTGTCTGTCCTATTCACTGAAGGATCCTGTGGAAAAAGACAGGGTGCTGCCGGTTATGGCAGTGGCTGTGAGCAGCCCTCGCTTGGCATTTCCCAATGCAAAGCATGATTTTGCAGCCCCAGGGTGTTATTTTGGCACAGTATGTGCAAATTCTGTGTTCTGGGATTTGTTTGTATTTGTGGTTTGTTTTTTGTAAATCCAGCTCATCTGCGATTAGGTGCAAAGATGCTGCTGCCTTGCCCAGGAGCGAGGGATGGAGGTGGTGGGAGCACAGAGAGAGCTCGGACGTTGCTTGAAGCCTCTCCTGGGGGAGGGAAGGGTGAAAGCAGGTACCAGCAGTCTGAAAACCCTCCGTGTGAGCCGGGCGAGCCCTGGCAGCCCCCTCACCCTGGCTGATGCTGATGTCTTGGCAGATTTCGTTATCGGTCTGGCAGGCTGCCAGCACGTCCCCAGCAAATTCAAGCATGGGGAAAAGGGAAGCGACGTTTTCAACGGCCTCCAGCTCAGCAAACGCTGAGTGGTGTTTCGCAGGGCAGAGACGAGACGCTTCAGCAGCCAGAGGGAATTCCCTCTCCCAAATATCGGTGGTTTGCTGCAGATGGCGAGAGCCGAGGCACTTCCCCAGAAGATGGGCTCAGTAACCTTTTGCAATGGGGAGGAGCAGGCCGGCTAATGGAGGGGGCTCGGCTGCCTCTCCAGCGCCGGTTAATGCGTCTAATCCCCCAGCACAGTCAGCTGTACGCTGTCTTGTTGCAGTAAGTCCCCACAATTCCTGATTTCCTGCCTTAAAACAGTAATTCCTTTTATCGGGTCTCCAGCCAGCCTTTTGCGCACGATGAGAGCGCGAGCAGAAGCTCTCACTTTGTCTTCCCTGCGCCATCTATGATCACTCAAAGCGGGAAATCTGCCCAGGTTTCTAATCACATTTAAGCAAACCTGATAAAGTGTAGCTCTTAGTCCATTTAATACGAGACACGTGGATGCTGTGTAGCACCTGCTGTTAAGTTGCTATATATAGCTCTCATCTACAAACGGGAGTGGGGCTGGGAGGAACCCACGGGTCAGATCATGGCACCTGTTTCTGTGACCTGCAAGGAAACAGAAAGTCCTTGCCGGCAAAGCATGCGGGAAAAACAGAGGCTGGAGGAGCAATAAGGAGCAGCGGGGATCCAAATTGCCTGGCACGCGGGTGCAGTCGAGCTGTGTGCATCTGAGCATCGCTAAATGTCAGGCTATCTGGGAAGAGGAGAGGAGTGTGGTCAGGATGTCTGAAAGCATCCTGAGGTCTGCTGGTCATAACTGGAGACGTGCGGAGCCGTGAGCGACGTTTGGGGGCTTTAGTAGCTGCTTTTGGCAGAAGTTGGGAGGTGTTTACTGCTGCCTGCCCCCTGCTCTGAGCATTGCTGCGACTAGATGTCATTCCCATACAGCTGCTCACCCACAGCAGCGTATGACAAGTAAATGACAAACTGGAGGCTGTGCAGGCAACAACTACCAGCACAAGTCAAGGGCTGGAAAATCTGCCTTATTGCAGGAGCTCTAATTGCTCGGCATGGCTAAGGAGTGACCCTGTGCCAGGGGACTGCATCCGCTCCCGTCGCTGTACTCTAGCAAAAGCGAAGTGCTAAAGGCCATCATCGCTAGTAAGAGTCCATCTGTACAGAGCACAAATGCTTGGATTTGCCTTATTTCCCTTCCCCTCTTGGACACCCTTGAGATGCCCAGCATTGAGGGCAGTCCAGACA